ATATATACATGTCTCCCATTAAATTAACAAAATAAATGTTGACAGAGGGATAACAAAGCTAATAGTACCCACATTGCTTTCTAGGACTGGAATTGATGTGCGTCTTTGGGAAAACAACTTGTTCATCCCAGGATATGGTAGGAGGTGCCATTTATGCACTCCCTTGAGCCCAAGCTGGCACTGCATAGAATGCTATAGCTGGTGAAAGGGGCCAATGTTTTGCCATCCTAAAGCTGTGCCATTGTTTTTCAGCTAGTTGTCAAGAAACAAAAGATGCAGAAAGAACATTTGACCCTCCCCCTTTCCTGCCCAAGAGGCTCAGATGACAAGACTTGCTCCAGAAAAGAAACCACTTTAGCCTAATTTAAAGTAATTTTGCTAGATGAGAAGGCTCCCAGCAGGAGCTTCATAGCAGATTGTCCTCTGTGCCCCTTTGTTTCTGGGTTGCCCAGCAAGAATTCCCAAGCCACGTGTGTTCTGCTCTTCCTCAACTACCTACAAATTGTCCATCTTCAATGTTGAAGTCTGAGGGCCTGTCCCCGCTTTCTCCTTTTTCCAATATGTACCCAATTTTGTATCACTGTCTTTAGAATTTTCAGGCTTATGTGAATTCCCTATAGGTACGTATTAAAATTTGATTTTCTCCTGTTAATCTGCTGTATGTTATTTGAATTATTAGCTCAGCTAGAAGAAGGTAGAAGGTAGGAGTGAAAATATTATTTTAGCCCCCCCTCCCACATTGGCATGCATATGTTTTTTCAATGCACTCACTTTTTTTCAGCCTTCCTTTCATATCTATTTCTGCCTGAACTCCCAATTCCTGTATAGACCTGTGAACTGATGATCTCTTGAAATGCATTATCTTAGCTGACCACATCACTACTGTGAGACAAAATGTCTTATACATACACCCTCTCTATTAAAAAATGGGATCAATATAAAAAGACACTTTGCCATGTCATATCTGGGACTCTATGGGAATAATCCAGTTGGGTTCACCCTCTGCTGCCTTCGGCAAACACACAAATGCCATGTGTGTGGTGGGGGGAGGGGAGGAGGATGGGCTGTAGAAAAGAGAGGAGGGAGAGAAATAAAAATTATCTATTCTCAAAGGTCTTTCAAGTGTTGGATCCTTACAGTTAGTAATTTCTTTCTTTTATTCTAATCCTAATAAGTCCAATCAAATGATGGGTGGGAGAAGCACAAGAGTGAAGTTTCTTCTCATTTTGCTTTCGTAGTAAAAAATGGGAAAGAACATGGATGTCTACTAGGAGGGGAAGGACGAAAGGACATTGTGAAGTGGCCACTTTGTGGACCTTGATGCTATCTCTCAAATGAGTGAGTGTGGAGAGTATAGATCAGACACAAATTGCTGTTGCTCCTGTGTTTAGTGAAAGGAAAAAATAAGCCAAAACCGGTTTGGCTCAGTGGATAGAGCGTCAGCCTGCGGACTGAGAGGTCCCAGGTTCGATTCCGGTCAAGGGCATGTACCTGGGTTGTGGGCACATCCCCGGTGGGGGATGTGCAGGAGGCGGCTGATCGATGTTTCTCTCTCATCGATGTTTCTAACTCTCTCTATCCCTCTCCCTTCCTCTCTGTGAAAAAATCAATAAAATATATTTAAAAAAAAGAAAAAAGAAAGGAAAAAATAAAAATGCATACAAAGCTGTGTTTTCTGCTGTAACCCTGTAAAATGCAAAGGGACTGGCAAAGATGCTCTTTCTTCTTGAGCAAACTAATTATTTAATTGATTTTAGAGAGGGAGGATGGAGAGAGCGATGGTGAGAGAAACATCAACCTGAAAAAGATACAAGGATTGGTTGCCTCCAATATGTGCCCCAACCAGGGATCAAACCCACAACCTAGGTATGTGCCCTGACCAGGAATTGAACCAGCTACCTTCAGTGCACGGGACAATGCTTCAACACACTGAGCCACACTGGCCAGGGCTTGACCAAACTTTAGACAGGCTCCTCTGAGCCCTCTTTTTGAGAAGGCCTTAACTTTGGCCTATAAAACTGTAGATTCTCAGTACAAATGATTTCATCCACTCACCCACTCACAGCCACACTAAAAGATGACTAAACTCTAACATAGTTTATAACATCTCAAGGCTGACTCTGGGTCCACTTAAAGGGCCTGCCTGAGAACAAACCAACAAACAAAACCCTCAAGGTCTCCAAAATAATTCACCCTTTGTTCTAGCCAACACTTGAGCAAGGGCCCCTGACCTCCCTTTTCTAGGGCATTTGCTAAGCAGGGCTTACAACTGTAAACTTCCTTTGTCACTCTGAGGTGTATATGAATCTCCTACAACTCAGGAGTGTCTCTCAAGGACCCAAAAACCATTTCTTTGAAATGTAATCAATAAGAAGGATAGGGCTTCTGTCGCCCAGTCTCTGAGGAAGTATATAATCCTAGAGTGAATAATTGCCAGCTAGCAGATGCTATAAATGTTGGCTTAATCGCATTTACACTGATCAACTCTATAATTTTTCCACTTCCCAGAAGATGAAAAGGGGCCGTGTACTAAACATGACAGCTCAGGGGAGCCCTGTATGGTGGTGGCCTTACAAACTCAGAGACATAATGTAACCACATAGGATGGTCTGAAATTAAAACTCTCTAACTAAAAGTTAGTAGTGCTGGGTAGTCATATCCTCGGCTGGTATCTTCCCTGACAATGGTCAATCCTTACCTTAGCTGAACCTGTCTACTGACTTTTTGCATGTGAACATACCTTTGGAATATCAGGGTAATTTCCTCTCCCCCACGACACATCTCACCGCACCACAGTGGAGACCACAAATCCCCTCATTGTTGTTGTTAATTGTGTTAATTGTTGACTGTTAACTCTCCTATTCCCACAAATGTAAACGAAGCATGGGGCTATTTATTTTACTTTTTTATCCAACCCCAGAGATATTCAGCTTTGCTTTCTCCCACCTCCCTAAATCACCAATGGATTTCATGTAACCCCTTGGGCCTCCTCCTTTGATTGTAATGTACAAAGTCAGGTGCCAACTGCCATTTCCTGGAGTGTTTTCTCAGTCCCTTGGAATTTGGCATCCCAGAAGATGTCAGTTTTGCTCAAATAAACTCATAAAAATCCTCTACAGGTTTAAACATTTCTTACATTGACACCCGGTTCTATTGAGCTCCTGCTGTTTCCCCCATCCCATTCTCTCATTCTGTCTTTAAAACACCCAGTCACCCCGGGCCAGTGTGGCTCTATGGTTGAGCATCAACCTAGGAACCAGGAGGTCACGGTTTGATTCCCAGTCAAGGCATATGCTCAGATTTCAGGCTCTATTCCCAGTTAGGGGGTGCTAAAAGAGGCAGCCAATAGATTCTCTCTCATTATTGCTGTTTCTATCTCTCTCTTCCTGACCCTTTTTCTCTGAAATCAATAAAAATATATTTAAAACAAAACAAAACAAAAAACACTCAGTCACCTCTGAACAAACTGAAATTCAGTTCACACTGGACCTTCTTTCATAATGCAATAGTAGATTACTGATTACAGTCTCTCTTTACTATTTGAGCTAGTGGCTGGCTTTGTCTCTGACAGGTCCAGATGCTAGGGAATTGAAGCCCTCCATCACTGCATTTGTTTTAGGGTGGTGAGAGGATACTCATTAGAAATCATTAGCAAAAGCGTTCTCTGTGTTTCAGAAAAGAACAATCTCTACACATCGCCATGATTGCAAGTTAAATAAAACTTTGCTGGGAAGCAATCCTGATTTATGAATCCACATTAAACATCTAAGTACATCTGTTATGCCCAGCAAAATGGTAACTGTTTGGGTAATGATATCTTAGAGTCACAACTGATGCATACATTCCCAGTGATTTATGCATTTGGAGGGGTGGAATGTGTCATGGTGATTGACTATTATACTCAAATACTGGATTTTTACTGTGCCCTCTGTCCCTTCATTTTGTGCTTGAGAATCAGGAAGTGCAACCTTGTGTGTGGGCAGAGTGGCTACCCTGAGAGAGATATTTCAGTATGTCTTAGGCGGTATCCACTTGCCTTTGATTCAGCATTTTGAAATATATCTCAGAAAAGATGAAAACTACTTCAGAAAGATGTACGATTCCAAGAGTTTGCTTTTAACTTCAAGTTGTTAGAAGCACTGACCGTGGGTCCACAACGCCCACCTCCCACCTTGCTCACCTTGGCCTTCTCTCACACCCCTTCCTTCCCTTGAGGTGCGTTCTTAGGATTCATGACTTGAGTGTTTCTCCCATCTCTGCCCTGTGACTATCTGATGAACCTTTCACATCCTTCAAAACTCAGCTCAAGCCTGACTTTCTTAAGAGGCAGCCTCCACCTGACCCCTCTCCCCTTTCCTCTTTGATCCCTTCTCCAATTTCTGTTTCAATAGCAACCATCTCAGCCCACACATCTCTGATTCTGGTGTTTGCATTTCTTACAATACGTGAGTTGCCATACGGTGGGGAGCCTTGTATTCCTGGTGCCCAGCACAATTTCTGACACAAAGTAAGGATTTAGTAAGTGATTATGGAACAAACAACTGAAGCTCTCTTTGCTTCCAGAGATGACTTTCTATTACCTATTGTAATCCAGACTGAGATTTAACTTTTCTCTTTTATCCAGTACATGTATTCGTTCATGTGCACACATGGAACTGCAAGATGATTTAAGAAAAAATCTCCAAAATACTGTAAAAATACACATACAAGTCTGATTGCAGGCTCCCCACCCCTGCCTGGCCTGGGACCACTGCGGAGGGCTGTGGGAAGAGATGCAAAGACATGTAACTTACATTCTGCAGCTGCACATGATTCTTCACCAGGTGCTCTGACTTTGCCATTGTGCTGGATGCTTTGAGGCTGTAGTTTTTACCACTCTGCGGCTCTTTCAGCTGCTCTTGAAGTTGTTTAGCTTGTTTTCTGCAGGTTTAAATAAATAAGTGAATAAATCGTTACATACATGTATGCTATTCATATTGTTTGTTTCATTCACTCCTATCATCTGTCATTTACTAAAGCTAGAGGAAACTCAGTTTAATTCTCTTTTTAAAGGGAATCCTTCCCCTATTTTCAACTCTACCAAGAACTCCTTCCAATTTGGAGAGAAGGTGGTGTTGCCCATCATCTCCCAGGGACTCACGCCCAGCAGTGTTCTGAAGGCGGAAAGAAACGTAATGGATGGTCCCTGCCCTCATGGATGCAAAGGGTCCCTCACCCTGAGTGGTCAGCTGCAAAGAATTGGAAATGTTCTGGAGAAGTGACCAGTGGAAAATAGGAAGCTTGGGCCTAACAGCCACATACATGTAACATACTACAAAGTCACATTTGTATCTTTACAAGTCAAGCATGTGTAGCTTGATTGCATGGCTGGCATAGGTACCATAATGAGTGTATATTTTCTTTCTTATAGTTTAGAACCAGCTCATTATTGTTATCATCAACCCTGCCTATAAAGATTTTTACCCCTTTGCAAACATTTTTTGTAAATAACAAAAACAGTTAACTCTTAAATAGTATCCATAATGTGCCAAACATCATTTTATTTTTTTAAATCTATTTTTTTTTTATTTCAGAGAGGAAGGGAGAGGGAGAGAGAGATAGAAACATCAATGATGAGAGAGAATCATTGATCAGCTGCCTCCTGTACGCCCCCTACTGGGGATCGATCCTGCAACCCAGGCATGTGCCCTTGACTGGAAGCGAACCTGGGACCTTTCATTCCACAGGCTGATGCTCTATCCACTGAGCAAAACCGGCTAGGGCCCAAAATCACTTTAAATGTTTTCCATCTATCAACTCACTTATTCTTCACAATAATGCTGTGAGATGAGGGATTACTTCGTACCCATTTAGATAAGAAATCTGAGGCACAGGAAATTAGATTATTTGCCCACACTCACATTGCCAGGAAGTGCTATAAAGCTGGATGCAGACCCAGGCAGTGTGGCCACGTATTCTGTACTCTTAACCGTCACTCAGAACCAGCAAGGCACTTGCCCGTGGACCCGCAGTTTCTCAGAGGGAAGGCTGAGCCTACTCTCAGTGTTCAGACTCCAAATAAAGGACTTCTGCCTGCATATGTGGGCTGGCTCTAGCAGCAAGATGCAACAGATCACCGCGTTATTAGCTGCTCTGTCCCAAGGGCTTTGCAGCATCTATTTATCAGCAGAAGACTCAACACCAATAAAACAAACAAACGAACAATAGCAAGCGAACAAAAACCTCTGCAGAGTCATCTGCCCTGAACTCTGCCTCTTGCCCGCGGCCCTGCCTAGGACAGAGCTCTGGTGGAGCAGAGCGCTGGCCTTGCAGGGAGCCACCAGCAGGCCGCTCTCTGCAGAGCTGGGGCTCAGGTCTTAGAGGGACTGAGACTTGTATCTGCCACCCTCCAGTTCCGTTTGGATTTCCTAAATCAAGAGATTGATTTCCTAACCGTCCCTGAGCCTCAGTTTCTTCATCTGCAAATGGAGTCTGTAAAAGCTGTCTTCCATGCATCCTGTGGAAACTAAAGGTGGGAGTGCATGCGGAATGCTGAGCTCCTCCCCAGCTCACCAGTTAGCAAGTCCGCACGTGCTGATGCTGCAGAGGAATTAGAACACTGGCTCAGAGAGCAAAGAAAAGATCGTATGAACTGTATCTCTCAGCATTTGCCACGGGCTATGGAGGTTTTGAATTTACACCAGTGCGATGCACTCTATTTAAATATTTCTTTCATCTTTTCAATTATTTGGGGGGCTTTTATCTCCAGTACTCTAAATTGCTTTAATCCAGTTGTAATTATGTATCTACTTCCTAACAGCTCATCTGCAGCCTATTGTTAAAAATAAATCAATCACATCAGCATTTTTAGAAGCACATCATAGTCAAGAAATCCTATCAGGAATTCACTGATGAAGCAAATGGGAGATCAGAAAGTTCCACCTGAGTAACTCATCATGAGGCAGTGAGAGAGGCTTACGCTCCTAAGAATTAAATATAAGAAACACTATCTTCCAGTGATTCCATAATTCGGTGTTTGGGAAATATAAATTTCTGAAGGAATTGTTTATAAAATGTTTGAGAACAGTTCCTAAGTCCTTTTATCACTTACTTTCCTTCCTTTTCACTCACGTCCCGACTCACCTGCCTCCTTCTCAGTCATCCTGCCCTTTCCCAGGCACGCCCATTTTTGCTCTTATCCTTTCCCCAGTAACAGCCAACAAAGGAAATGATCGCTGTGCCATCAACCCTCTCATGAGAACACCTGCTCCGGGGAGACCAGATGCATTGCACACCGGAACCCTACTAGCCAGCAATGTCGGTATCAACATTGCATAGTAAACTGAGTTTTTTTAAGTTTCTCTGGCTCAATTCTTCAGAAGGAACTGAAATGTAAGTAGTGGCATATCTGATGTCACAAGTCTGTTGGAAAACATTTGCAATGTTGCAGGTGGGGCTCCTGGGGAAGTAGACACTGAGGAGTGTGCAGGATTCTTACTAGGGAGGGCTCTTTGGATTAGCACCAGCAGAAGCAAAGGGTAGGAAAAAGGACTGGACTGAAGGAGAAGTTGGGATGTCATGCAGATCTCAGTAAATCCCACAGCGAGTTCTGGAACTGGCCTGGCCTTGCACTGCATGTTGGGGCAAAAGTCTACACTTTCAGAGCCTCACATTGAACCATCACCAACTGTGATCTATCTCAGGTCAGAGTATGTGCTTGAGAAAAGTAACTCCTAGCATAACTGTGTTTTAGCAACTGGGAGACTAACCCTTCACCATTGAAGAGCATCATAGCAGCATACCCGACCATTCGCTGCTGTCCTTACGAGGCTTTTTCCGTGGCCTACAATACCTTACTTCAGAGAGTAATAACTGACAGTCAGAGCAGTTGGCCACCATCTCTGCTGTGACCAGTAGCACCCGCTTGTTTTCCTCCTGTGTTTTCCCAGTTGTGATCATTATTCGTCCAGCCTTTGCTCCGGGAACACCTCCTCTCCATCCCCTTCCATTCTTAGAGTTGAATCATGTCCTGCATTTCCAAAGTCTGCTAAGGGCCCCAACAGCCAGTCTCACCCTTCTTACCCTGTGAGTTGAAAGTAAAAAGAAAACCTACGAGAATGTATAGTTGCATGTGAGCCATATCAACCAGACTGAAAGCTCAATGACTAGTTCTGTTAGCTACTTGGGGGAATATATTGATTTATTGGGAGTGATGAAAATTTCTTCCATTGGGTCCTTCAGAGTCATTGGGTTTTAATTCATTCAGTTAGAAAACCCTCTAAATTCAAGAAGGTGTTTGTCACTTCTACCTCCTCAGCTAACAGTTTGCTATAGTATTCTATCTACTGAGGTCATGCCATAACAAGGGTGACAAGAGAATGGAGAAAGGACCAGAGTGGTTAATCTGGGGATTAACACCTAAGTGACCAAGAGAATGTGAGCTTTTTTTGTAACTCTTGACTTTCTCTCACCAGAAATAGTACATCCTGGTATACAGGATGGAGGTTCAAGTGAATTTATTTGGAAACCAATGATAGAGAGGTCCCACAATCCTAGAACTTGGGGCTTTCAAGATGAGGTAAAGAACATATACAAATGGAAACAACCTGACTCTAGGAAAGTGAGGAAAGGTCAAGGTGGAGTCTGATCAAGGATTTGCGGGGGACTTGGAATTCCAGCAGTCAGCACAGAGAATACTGTGTCAGGGTGTTATAAAAATGCATGTTCACAAATAGGAAATGATTTAGAAAGTGGGTTTGGTTCAGAAAAATGGTATACTTCCTATATTAAAAATATGTAAATGCTGCCCTAGCTTGTTTGGCTCAGTGGATAGAGAGTCAGCCTGCAGATTGAAGTGTCTTATTTAGTGAGTGAATGAATGATGTTACTTCTACAAAACAAACCTAATACCTAGTTTTCTTTTAATAAAGACTAACATTTATTTGATTCACACACACACACACCACACACACACACACTGCCCTCAGCTGTGTAAATCACATGCCTGGTGTGGGGTGTGGATTCCTCTTAGGCAAAGAACAGTAAAGGAAGACCGTGCCTGGAAAGTGTGCAGAAGAAGGAACTATACTCTTAATGAGAACTATAATTTCCACCTGGGAAAGGCTTCCATTTTTATTATCACTTTACTCTTCTCACATTTTCTTATTTATTTGTTTTTAATGAAAACATGTACCAGCTGGGCAGGCAGAAGGCAAGCTCAGGAAGAGTGTTCCTCCATCAGCTCAGGAAGAAACCAACACTGAACAGGTTTCCATTAAACCTGGACAGCTCACTGCGCCACAGGAGGAGGTGTCCCAGAGCCCACTGCTGCCCTGAAGACCGAAGGCCCAGGTTACCCAGCTGCTCGCCAGTCTTGTGAGCGTGATCATCAATCTTCCATGTAAATGTGGTACAACTAAAACTCACACTCTAAAAAGAACAATGAAGTACTTCTTCATAATAACTTGCTATTGTTAAATACACCATTTCTTTCTCAGGAGCAGCAGGAGCATGGAGAAGCTTGCACCGCCCTGTCAGGTGATTGCTCCTCTCCTGCTCCAGGGCGCACTCTTCGCCTGGGGTTACCCAACCCTTACATTCCTGAGGGGAAAAGGGGGCTGTGAACAATAGCAAGCCCCACTGAGTACTTACTCTTTTATACTCTGTGGTGTCCTTTTGACAGTATTTTCCCATTAATCCTTAACACATTCTAGAAGGGAGCTATATTTTGGCCATCTTACCAAAAAGGAAATCAAAGGTAAGGGACTGCATGTAATTTGCTTAAGAGTTCATAACAAGCAAGTGGCAGCCTGAAGATTTGAACACATGTAAAATCACAGCCACTGTGCCCTGTAGCTTCCCTGAAAAAATAAAATTGAAAAGTGCTCGGGGTTGCACCAGAGCAGGGCTTCCTCATTCACCCCCAGCAGTTTCACCAGCCAGTGAAAGGATATATGAGCCAGTGTGGTTGGTGTAAAGCATGTGATTGAAACTAGAACAGTGCAACTTCTAAGACCCCATCGATTGGGAAGGGGAAAATGTTTAATCACTCTGCTCTACACCTAAAACTAATGTAATATTATATGCCAGCTGTAATTGAAAAATAATAAAAATCATTTTTTTAAAAAAATGATTCCATCTGCAATTTTCTACTGTGTGGCTTTGACAACTTAATATTTTAAAATTGAATCCTGATATTTTTAAAAATGCAGCAATAACACGCAATTCCAATTGCCGTAAGGACTGGGAGCTAATACATGAAAAGCTCAGTGTCTCTGACAAAGAATAAGTGCTTAAAACGAACAGGAACACCTGAAACCTGTATAACTTTATTAACCAATGTCACCCCAATAAATTCAATAAAAATTTTAAAAATAAAATGAGCAATAAAAAACAAACACAAAAAAACCCAAAACAAAAACCCACTAACATCACAGCTAAGAGTTGCCTAGATGTAATAATTAAATGTAATGTGGCATCTGGATGTAGCCCTGGAACAAAAAAGCACATTAGGTAAAAACTAAGAAATCTGGAAGTATGAACTTTAGTTAGTATTACTGTATCAATATTAAATGCGTCGTGCTAATATAAGGCAATAATGGGAAACTGAGTCTGGGTATATGGAATCTCTGTACTCTTTCACAGTAATTCTGAAAATCTAAACCTATTTTCAACTAGTTTATTAAAACATAATAGTTACTAATTCTGGATTCAGACCTGAGTTTCCATTATTTTTCTGAAGATCAACAAATATGCAGACAAGTATAATAAGCTATATATGGAAATTGGTCTATTTTTAGAAGAACAAATGGATAGAAAAATATATGTCAATGAAAAGCAATGAAGCTTTGGTTTGGATTTCAACAAGCTATAGGAACAGAATTGGTGCCAACTTATTCAGGCCTACGTGCCTTACAAGAAACCAAAAAATAGTATGTTTATCTGTATTTCCTATTTTATTATGCTATTATCATAATTAAAATAAATACCTTTACCAAAGTTTAGTTAAAATAAAGATATATGTAGGTATACATATGTAATTACATAGCTGTATATGGATGTATATTTTAGCCTACATTATTAGTCAAAAGTAACTACTTTTATGTGCAGAAGGTCTGGTTTTTTGGCAAAGGAAGTATAGGGCATATTTGAGATATGTATACCAGTTGGGGAACTAAAACAGATTTTATAATTTTTCATATTTCACATTTGGCTAAAACCTTTATGAATATCATGTAAAAACACTATTGAAAGAAAACATGTAGATTTTTTAAAGAAAAACAATAGATACTGGTTGATAATGTTTAGGTCTACAGCAGTGTGACCTCTCTGGTCACAAGAGTGTCAACTCCTTAGTCACAGGCAAATGTTGAGACTTTCATTCTGGCAGGTAATCAAAATGTGCAAAGAATGTAGAGTTTTTATGAGCACAGAGAGGCATGATAGCTATGTGCGTCAAAGATAAACCACACACACATACATGCAAGTGTGGCATGTACACTCACCACAGGCTACAAAATTCTAAGTCACTCTAGATGTTGGATGGGCCCATTTTTACAAGATCCCTCTGTCAGGAGCAAAGACTGAGAACTTAAAAAAGACAAAGTGCTTCCTCTGAGAAGTAACCTTTTAACACTTGAGAGAATGGTCTTACTTGCTTTTGAAGTAGAATGCTGCACAGAACATGCCCACGATGACAATTCCAAAGATGATGCATGAAATTGACAGCACCTGCCTTTGATAAACGTCTTCACTCTCTGTGAATTTGAAAAGAGAAATTAGAAAGGATGTTAGCAGGGCACAGCTGAGACAATCTTCGTCCTTGTGCTTTTAAGCTGGTATCTCTTTTCAAAGCAAACTTTTTTGATCCTGTCATGAATAGGGAAAATATGAGGAACTTATTAGCATGCAATTTGTTGGCAGTGGTCTACAGGATAGCTGATTGCTACATTTTGATTTGCATGGCTAAGTCAGAACTCATACTCACATATCACAATTATGTATCTTATCAAAAGACATCGCATGACGTTAGGACACATGGGGGGCATATCTTTTTGAAATGATGGTTGGGTTCAAAATAATCTGCTACAGAAACAAATGTGAGTCCATCAGAGCCTTCTTATGCCAGTGGTGACTTCCAATTTATTTTACGATGCCACTGCATTTATTATTTGGTCTTTAGCTGTCATTCACCCATGATTATGATTGGCATCACTAATGAAAAAGAACTTCAATATGGATGTGAATGTTTATTCACCCATTCTGTGACTTCCTCAATACCCATGATCTGGCATCTCTATTATCTCAATTGCTGTTATCAAGACCATATCTTATAGCTTCTTATCACATAAAAACAACAGAATTCATAAACAAGCATTTCACTTCTCAGCCATTATTATTTATATTCCCAGCTTATTTTCTGAAATATGTCTACTGAAACAGTTCTTCCATTTCATCAAGACCTTTTACCCATAGATCTCGGAACCTTCTTTCTGTTATTGTCCTCTTGTTGTCTTCATTTCTCTCCTTATACAGCATACAGACTTCGGTGCATGATTGCAGTCATTTATTCTCTTGCAAATACCCTCACTTCTGCATCCTTTTCTCCTTCCCCTTTACTCATTTGGCAAAATAACTGTGTACAAAACCAGTCAACTGCCTTTTCCACCACTCTGCATTGAACAGGTCAGAATTGGAGAGAAGATTGCACAACTGGGAAAGGAGACACTAATAAAGGTTGACAATAACGTTGCTGAAGCAGACATCCAATAGAGGCTAACAATCCCATCAGCTTGCTTCTCCATTTTTCTAAAGATCATCCATACATTCTCCACACTACTCAGACATCTGACTTACCCTCCTTCCTGACTCTGAGATCTTTCATATTTGTCACACACAAAAAGAAGTCAGTATAAAAGAGATAATCTTGATGCATAACACAAAATATACAAAATTAATTGTGCCTCTATTCCTTTTGATTCATTCTTATTAACATAACGCAGTAGTTCTCACACTTTAGTATGCATTGGAGTCACCTTGAGAGTTATTGAAGGACAGACTGCCACCTACTTTCCCTCCCAGAGTAGGTCTGAAGTGGAGACAGAACATTCCCATTTAAAAAAAATCCCCAGGTGATTCTGATGTTGCTGGTCTGCAAAACATGTTTTGAGAACCACTGAATAGACTAGGAACCCTCAGAACACAGAGCTACTATAAGAGAATAGCTGGGGGATATTTGTTTGTCTTTGTAAATGTCAACTAAGGATCCACTTTGGACCTTCTGAATAAAAATGTCTATTCAAAAGAAAATTTTCAATGGTGGTGGAAAAAATTAAATTAAATTAAATTTTAAAAAAAGAAAAGTGATTGAGTGTCAACCTATGAAACAGGAGGTCACGGTGCAATTCCCTGTCAGGGCACATGCCTGGGTTGCAGGCTTGATCCCGAGTGGGGGACATGCAGGAGGCAATCAATCAATGATTCTCTCTCATCATTGATGTTTCTATCTTTCTCTCATTTTCCTTTCCTCTCTGAAATCAGTAAAAATGTGTATTTTTAAAAAGCCCTCTCCTTGAGGATAAAAATAATAGAAAGAAATAAAATCTTTCAGGTGTTTCTCATGCACACTAAAGTAAGAAAATAATTCAATTAGAGAAAATTCTATCTTTTAAAAGATTAATTCCTTAAGATCCAATTGTCTTCTACCATCTCAGGGTCTTCACAATCACTGACAGTAAGAGAAGGGAAAACATTCCAATACATTTTATGATGCCAACATTACCTTTAGATGAACATTAGACAAAGACATAAGAGAAAATAAATTACAGACATATATTCCTCCTTGACATAGATGCAAAAATTCTCACCAAAAGTTTAGGAAATCAAATCCAGCAAGATGTTAAAAGTAACACATCATGACCAAGTGGGGTTTATATAAGGAATACAAGGTTAGCTTAATATTTTAAAAATTAATAAATGTGATTCACAATTTTAACAGCCAATAAAAATAATTATTAATTAGATGGAAAATTTACTTAAAATCTAACATTAATTCCTGATTAAAATTCTCAAAGATTAGAGATAGAAGGGAACTTCATCACACTTATGAAGAATATATATATATAATCTATACCTAATTGTAAAAGACTGAATGCTTTTCCCCTAAGGTTAGGAATGCAGCAAGAATATACCTTCTCACCCTTCTATTCAATATTGTACTGGAAGTTTAGTCAGTGGAATAAGCAAATATAGAAATTAAATCCATTCAGTTTTGGAAAGTAGAAGAAAAATCATCTTTGTTCTCAGATAACATAATCATCTATGCCAAAAGCTGGTAGAATCCACAAAGAAAGAGCTAGTATAACTAGTAAGGAAGCTTAGCAATTTTGCATGATTTAAGTTGTATGATAGATGATACAAAAATTAAATATGTGTCTATTTAATAACAACAAATAATCAGAAATTAACATGTAATTATTATTTATACAATCATCAAAAATATAAAGCACATAGAGGTACATGAGGTGTGTACACTGAAAACTACCCAGATATTATAGAGAGAATTTTAAAAAGACAAATAAATGAAGAGATGCATCATGTTTATGGATTGAAAGACTCAATATTATTAAGATGTCAATTTTCCTCAAGTTAATAGATAGATTGAGTACAATTCTACTGAAAATTTCAGGAGGAATTTTGTTGTTGCAGACATTGACAAGCTAATTCTAAATGTTATGTGGAAATACAAAAGATCTAGAGTAGCCATAAGAATGTTTTGATAGCCAAAAAATCAAAGTGAAGGACTTAAACTACTTTGTTCCAAGACTTATTATGAAGTTATAGTAATCAAGGCACTATGGTATTGGCCTACTTATAGACAGACAAGAGAGTCCAGGAATATATGCAAAAAATATGTGGCCAATTGATTTATGAAAAATGCCAAGACAATTCAAAGGGGAAATTATCTTTAAAAAAATTACATTATAACAGTAGTATAGCCATATCCATAAAAATGAACCATGACTTGAGACCTTAATGTAAAATTTTATACTATAAAGCTATTAGAAGAAAACATGGGAGAAAATCTTAGTAATCATGGGTTTGGCAAAGATTTCTTAACTACAATACAAAAGATACAAAGTATGAAAAATTTTAAATCAATAAAATGGACTTCATCAAAGTTAATAATGTTTGCTCTTCAAAGTATAGACTCATATCTATAATATATTCAAAAACATTGACTGTTCAACAAAAAATATATATTCAATAACATGAACTTGTATATGGTATAAGATAAGTGCATCTCTTACTACTCAATAAGAAGACAACAGCTGCATTTTGAAATGGAAAAAAGATTTGAATGAACACTTCCCCAAAGATATATAGATGGCAAATACATACATAAAATATTTATAGATTGTAAATGCAAACATCATTAATCATTATAAAATTGAAAATTAATCTGTTTGGAGCTATATGGCATCCCTACTAGAATGTTTAAAATTAAAGAATGACTGTACCAAGAAAGTGGAAAAATTTTAACTTCCATGTACTTCTGGTAGAAATGTAAAATGATATAACCACTTAAGAAATAATTTCAGGAAAGTAAGACATATGCTTACCTTATGCATAGCTATTACATTCCTAGAGATTTACCCAAGACTTATGAAAGTGTTCATCATGTACATAAATTTTCATGGCAGTTTTATTTATAATAGCAAAAAAGTGGAAACAATCCAAATGCCCACGAACAGGTGAATGGATACACACATTGTGCTATATCCATACAATGGGATATTATCTTACCTAATAATAGACAAACATGGTAATTGACCATACCTTTGCTAAGCTTGCCATTGGCTAATCAGTGAGATATGCAAATTAACTGCCAACAAAGATGGCAGCTGGCAGCCACAGAGCTGGAACGAGCAGGAGGCTTGCCTACTCCAGGAATGGAGGAAGCCAAGGTCCCCCGCCTGCTGCGGCCTGCTCTAAGCTACACTCAAAGCAAAAAAAGTTTCAATTATAGAAGGTTAATAAATCCCAGAACAATAAAAAGAAAAAAGGAGAGGCTGGGAGCTTCTGTCACTGGGGAGGCTTGCCCAGCCTGAAAATGGCCCTCAGCCCTTCACCCAGATTGGCCCGGCACCGCCGTGGGGAACCCCCACCCTAAAGGTGGTGTGACCAGCCTGAAAACAGCCATCAGCCCCTCACCCAGGCTGTCAGGGACCCCAGTGGCACCCCAGTGAGGACCCCCATCCTGAAGGGCAAACCAGCCAACTCCCACCTATGCACCAGACCTCTAGCCTATATAGTAAAAGGGTAATATGCAAACTGACCTTACCGGTAGAAAGACTGGGAATGACTGGTCACTATGACACACACTTATCACCAGGGGGCAGACGCTCAATGCAGGAGCTGCCCTCTGGTGGCCAGTGTGATCCCACAGGGGGAGCTCTGCTCAGCAACAAGCCAGGCTGCCAGCTGCCAGTACAGCGGTGGTGGTGGGAGCCACTCCCGCCTCCTCAGCCGCACTAGGGATGTCAGACTGCAGCTTAGGTCTGCTCCCCGCTGGCGAATGGAAATCCCCCGAGGGATCCTGACTGCCAGAGGGATGTCTGACTGCCAGCTTAGGCCCAATCCCCCGGGGAGGGGGCCTAAACCAGCGGGTGGTCATCCCCCGAGGGGTCCCAGACTGTGAGAGGGCACAGGCTGGGCTGAGGGACACCCCCCAACCCCGCATAAATTTTTGTGCACT